TAAGACAGAGAGAAAGCCTTTTGTCATTGGGTGCTTATTTCATGCCTAATTAGAAACATTTTTGAATGTTTTCACATATTTACTTGTGATTTTTCTTGCAAACAGAAACAGTCGGTGCCCCACAAGGAGGGCAAAGGAAACTCACCATCAGCTGTGCCTTAAAAAAAAAAAATTACTTATCTAATTCAGTTTGGGACAAAGATGATACATAGCGTGTGCATGCAAACAATGCAGGATGGAAAAACTACAAGAGAGAAAATGAGGCTTTGGCATATTAAAAAAAATGGAATATTTCACTTTTAAATGTAAAGACATTGTCAGATGAATCCACAAAGGTGCATCTTTACATTTGTGCTTACAGAGTGAGACATTTCCCCTCTTACTCTTGTTCTTCTTTAATAGATCCTCGGTTACTTACCTGGTCAGGGGAAACCGATAAATGTGACCTGTGGCGTTAAGGTAAAGTTTTCCTTTCTTGATTCTTTGACTCATGACTGAAAGTGTATAAAAATAAGTAAGTCTGTAAAATAGACTTACTATTTTAAGTTTCTCTCTCAGAAAGGACCACCAGAAGTCTTGGGAAAAATGGAGTTTTTTCCCAAAAGCATTTTTGAAAACAAGTATTATCCATACTACGGGAAGCTGAGACATGTGAGTGAAAGTTTCATGATTGTCGGGGAACTGCTGCAGCAGCAGTCGAATTTAAAACACCCGTCGCGTCTTAATCTTCTGTCTCTCGTCTCTCAGGTAAACTACTCTTCACCAGTCGTGGCTGTACGTTTTACGGGCGTGCAGCAAGGCGCTAACATCCAAGTACAATGCAAACTAAACGGAAAGGGCATCATTAACGATTCTCCCACTGACCGCTACCTGGGCAGCGTGACCTTCTCCTTGGAGGTCGGAGCGTAAGGCGAAGGTGTCGCAGGACGCTCACAAGACGAGGCAGGAAAACATTCACGAGACAAGATTTATACTGAACCGTTATTTTCCACGAGATATGTAATTTGCCCCTGTCCTCGTCTTTCACTTAAATATCTTCTGCTGTGAAACAAAATCCTCAAGAAGTAGGTATTTACTCGTGTTTTTTGTTGTTTCTTTGTACCACGAGTGTGCTACTGGCACCTGCATCCACAACAAACAGTGCTGAGCACAGGAACGAGTGCCTAGAGCGAGTTATTCCTGTTCGATTCCTGATATTTTGTAATGATTAGTGAGATTAATCGCACTAAATTACACTCTGCCCATTAGTTAGAGTTTCTGGCTATGCAAATCCAATTATGAATTAAACATTAATAGGGAACTAGAGTTCTTTCAGGTTAGATCGTACGTTTTTGTGCACATTTTTATGCGACCAAGTGTACTAATTTGTTTTGCATTATATTTTTCAAACATGTATATTGTAAGAATTCAAAGAACTATCATGCAAACACTGAAAGCAGGACTTGTACTGTACTTACACAGTAAAAAAAAGACATAATAAATGCAAATACATGATTACTATATTTTTGTTGAATAGAGCAGTATTATACATTTATGATAAAGTATCACTTCTTCTTTTGTAAAAAACATTCGCTTTGGAAAATGAAATACTATACATGACTGATCAATAAAGAGACGCACTGTGCTGTGAAATAGTTTGTCAAAGGTCTGCACCGTTTTAATTATGCTATAACTATTTTGTGATAGTATTAATCATGCCTGAACTGTGCTACTAAACTTGGTATCAGTGTTGTATTTATTCCTATTTAGCTCTTACAATAAATACAGTGTTCTGGTATGTACTGCAAGTTTTCTTCCACATCACTAACAGCCTACACAGACTCTGACATGTTGCTACAACATCTAAATTGATTTACTGCAGAAGTCTCATATTTTTAAAGAATGTCGTATTATACAGAGGCAGCTGCTATAAAACGAGGTTATAAAGTAAACACTTAATGCTTCCTTAAGAAGTAAGAGGCTGCTGCTCAAATGCAAAATGCACTTGATTAACCACAAACCAAGCAAGAAAGACAGCAGCAGTGATCTTAGAGAAGTAATTATTGCTGCCCATCAGTTTGGGAAGCGTTTCTAAACAACTTTAAATCCATCATTCTAGAGTGAGACTGATTACGTACATTCAAATTTCCAGTACCAACTTTATTGGCATCTCAACAGCTGTGTTTTATGCTGGTGTCGACCAAAGAGGCCAATCAGCACGCTTACCATCCACTGGAGGGTAAGTGTAAGGAATCGGTTCTCAGACTTTTTGAATCGTTAACCACAAAAATTTAATTCTAGTAAAATGTGTAATTGGAGGTATAATGAGGACCCAAGCACAGGACATGGAAGCAGGTTGAAACATTGGCTAAAGAAGCCCTGGAATGGATAAGGGTAATACAACTGCAGGCATCCAGGAACTGAAGAGTAATAAGAGATTAACACGAGGGGGCTCTACCAAAGGGAGGATCGTGTTTTCATTTTATACTTCACTCTTAGCTTTTCATGCCCCAGTGCAGCAGCTCTTTGTGTTGTTGACAAAAAGAGGGGGTACCACTCAAACGCTTTGTCTACATTTTTGCTTCAAGTTCAGATAAACTGTCAGAAACCCATTTATACAAAGTCAGCATTGATACTCGTCTCCATATCAGTTCAGCATTGTGCAACTCCAGGGTCAACTTGTTTTCATGTCAGTAGCTGGCATGAGAGTCACGGCTGTGCGTGCTTGTTACAGGTCATAAAAAGCAGGTAGCCAATCAAAGTCAAATGCACAGTTTAGGCCATTTGATCGTTCAGCAGTGTAAATGTTTACACTCGTTAACCTTTGAATGCAGTTTAGTCACAAGACTCTCGAGCTTGTAGGGAAAGTTCCTACGACACTGGCAATAGTCACCTACAAGTTCTAATGAGGTTATCGAGCACGTTTTAATTAATTATTCAAAGAACACAGAGAGGGTAGATTTTTTTTCTTTATATAATGTTCCTGAAACGTTAAAAGTTAAACTAAGACATTCTCCCTGCAGCATGTTGAGCATGGCTTAGAGTACCAGATTATACTCTAATCTTTTATGAAACATTCCCACAATGATTTTAAGGTGGGAAAACATCCTCCAAACAACATTAACAGATTGCGTTAGAGCAGTGGTGTCAAACATAAGGCCCAGGGGCCAGAAATGGCCCAGCAAGAATGCCAATCAAGCCCACTAGATGGCTTTTTATAGCATTATAAAACATTTTAAATGTTATAACATTTCTAAATGATAAAGGCCTCCACCCTTACCACACCAAAGTAATTAACTAAAAGATGATCAATTAAAGGAAAGAAAATTTCCATTTTCTGAAAAAATAACATTTTTCTGTCGGTTAACAAAAACAAAAAACAAAAAAAAAAGTTCTATTTTATGACAGGACAGTCCGGTGAATGAGCAATTTCACACATTTATTTCTTAGCAGCAGAGATGATTTGCATTTCTTTTTTGTGTGTTAAGATATCTCAGGGATTACATTTGAAGGTAAACATCTTAACCTGACAGAAAGGAGTGTTTTGCTGGTCTGGCCCACTTAAAATGAAAGTGGGTCGTATGTGGCCCACAGTATAAAATGACTTTGATATCCCTGCATTAGAGGAGAGTATTAGAGTAGCAGCTCATCAGGTTCACAGGTTATTTTAATTTCTTAAGTACTAAAAGTAGAGTAACACGTTTTCTTGTCACCGGTTGACAAGAAACTAAACTAATCAAAATTACAATCCACTGACAAATGTGACCTTAAGCACAGGTTGGGTGGAGACCCATTAGGTGTTCAGTGTGTCTGAGGTTAAATGAATCCTGACCATGAAGCTATGGTGGTAGAAAGGTTGACTGATGAGGTCAGGCATGAGTCTCTGTGGACTATGATGTTTGCAGATGACATTGTGGTCTGTAGGGAGAGAAGGCAGCAGGTGAAAGCGCTTGGAGAGATGGAGGAATGAAGGTCAGTGGAAGCAAGACAGAATACATGTGTGTGAATACGAGGGAGACAGGTGTAACAGTGAAGATGCAAAGAGTAGAGGTAGTGAAGTATTAGAAATACTTGAGGTAAACCATCCAAAGCAATGGGCAGTGCATGAGAGAGGTGAATAGAGTGCAACCAGGCTGAAGAATATCAGGGCTGATTCATGACAGAAGAGTAGCGAGACCAGCTCTGATGCATGGTTTGGTGATGGCGGTATGGCCAAAATGACAGGAGGCCGAGCTGAAGATGAAGGAAAGCGCAGCGTGAGTGACTGAGGCAAATTTAGAGAACAAAGCTGAGATGGTTTGGATGTGTGCAGAGGAGGAACAGTAGATATATTGGATAAAGGGGGTTAAAGATGGAGCGACCAGCTAGGAGGAAACGAACGACCACAGAGAAGATTCATGGATGTAGTGAAGGAGGACATGCAGAGGGTTGGTGTGACAGAGGTGGAAGATGCTCGGGTGATCCGTGGTGGCGATCCCTAAAGGGAGTAACTGAGAGGAGGAGGTGGTAATGTTTGGCAACGTTGTGTGAACATTTTCTGAAACATTTAGTTTTGCATGATTACGACGGAAGGAAAAAAAAAAAAACCCAACTCCCCAAACATTTAGATGGCCTGGTGTTTATGAAACGCTCCTCTAATTTTAATATTAACCTAGGTAGAGTGCTTCACCTGAAGTATTCTGAGGATGCTGTCAGGCTAACAAATACATGATCTGGTTTCACATCCATCTTTTAAAAGTTTTGAACTAAATAGTTTGATTATCATAAAATGTGGACTACCAATCCATCCAGAGGGTTTGCAAAGTCAGCTGATAAGATGTTAAAACCATCAGAGCATAAAGTAGAACAACATTATCACTGAAGATTTTTTTAAAGCAGGTTATCACCAAAGACTTTAAAGGGACGCTGCTTTAAGCATCAATAGGACAGCAGTCAGGAGATGAGTTTTTCTAGCTAAGTCTGCACCTTGACAAGTAAAGCAAAGTACAAACAGTTTAAAAAAAAAAAAAAAATGACAATGATACAAAACAAGAACCAAACTTTATTTAATTTGTTCCCCACTTGTGTCAAACAAGCTCATCACATCACATTCTTCATCAGATGGAGACAAGCTTCAAGCAAGCAACTCGAGAGGTGCACAACAGAAAGGCACGAAACTGTCGGGGAGTGACCGGACGCTCAGAATCACATGAACGAAACTGTGCGACTCGAGGAAACGTCGTCTTCACACCTGAACTTCACCTGTCGTTAGTGTACTAGGACATGGATGGGCTAGTATGCGGTTTGATCCGGGCGATCGGTGTAAGCCTGAGTCTACTGCGTTTGTTGAGCTTTTTCAAATATCACAGGGTTACGAGGGGACACCACCATGATTAACTCACCAAGTACTCATGTGTAAACAAATGTTCATTTCAGGAAAATATAAATCTCCTACCGTGAGTGAGAAACAACTCAAACCAGAAAACAACACAACTAAACAAAGGTGGTCCCAATGCTGGTTAAGTGTCCTGTTATCGTCCCTTTAATTGAGCTACAAGTGACCAAGTGTGTGCATCAAAAAGAGGTTCATGTTACATGGAGCGTAATACAATTAGCGACTCAGTGGAAAAATATGAATGTCTGGGAAATTAATGACAGTGGCTCTATTAGCTTGCTTGTACATTCATGTCATCAAAAATCAGTGTCATTCATTCTATACAAGAGTAATTTACACATATATTATACAGCACAGAAACCGAGAGCAAAAAGCCTCTCTGGGGTGGCGGAGGGAAGGGAGGAGGAAGTGGAAGGCTAATCGCAGCCATAAATTTAACTTTTAAAACATGCAATCTATAATCAAACGATGCAATATCGATCATAAATGTTTTGGTACTCTATTCAGTCACTGGCAATAAAGCAAAACGGAGGGGATAAATTTGAAAGGGGTTTGCGAAATAAGCTGAAAGGTTATTTTTTTAAGACGCTGTCTCACGGGAAACTGAAGAGAGCATAAATCTGGGCAGGAGAGTGCTGGGAAGGTGTTTTTTTTTGTCCCCTAAAGAGCTGTAAGGGGCAGAAGACGCAGCGGGGCTGAATTATACGGACTGGTAGCCAGTGCGACTCTTCCTCCGACCAATCAGGTAAGAGATAAGCACAAGGATGATTAGGAAGCTGAGTGCCACGCCAACTGCGATGGGCACCAAAAAGCTCAAATCAGAATCCAGGAAGCACTCTTCAGCTGACAGAAAGAGAGACACAGAAAGGACAGGTTAGTGCTTTAGGAGGAAAAACACTCAGAGAGGAAGTTTGGGTTAGAAATGCAGCAGGAAGCAGTGAGAAGAGGAAACAGCAATCAGCAACATGACAGTAGTGTTGATTTTGGTGGTGGTGGGGATAAATACGTCAACACAAAAAGGATTTGAGTCAGTGTAATAGTTATTAAAGTAAGTGCAGTAAGTGATGGAGGTTTGGAAGATACACAAAAACGCCTTTTTGCCAAATCCAATTAATGCCGCTCTTATACAAAGCTGGTCAGCACAGCTTAGCATAAACACTAGAAACTGGTCATGTCAGCATCTTTAAAGTCTGCTCATTAACAGGTTAATCTGAAAAGACCGTTAATACAACCTGTGGATTTTAATATGTACAAGTTGTTTGTTGCCATTAAGAGAAAAAAAAAAAAAAAAAAGATTTCTGAATCTAACCACCGCCAGCCAAGAAATTAGTTCAGATTTATTTATTCTGCTTAATTTGTGCATCTTAAACATTTAATTTAAAAAACATTCTCTGCAAGAAATGGTGGCACTACTGTACTGCCTGGCTTACATGGCACTCATGGTTACGTTAGATCAACATCACAGCCTTTATTCTAAGGAGCTGGCAGTCTCTGCATCAGCCGAAGTGTGGCCGAGTTCAGGGTAGGATTCAAGTAGAAAACTTTTGAGCTGCTGGCACAGACTTCAGTTAAATCTAAAGATGCAGTCTCAGCGTTTCCAGTCTTTATGCGAGGCTAAACTGTAGCTTCAAATTTACAGACAGAACAGCGTCAATTTGGCTCTCAGCAAGAAGGCAATCTGAACACCCATCAACACTACATAAACACATAATAGTTTTTCCCCACAATTAGTCAAAGGCAGCAACTATCCTTTGTATAGCTGAAAGCTCTAAATGAGAAATTAGAAAGACTGATAGCCGGTGGCCATGCTTCTCCTTCTTCCGATGAAGTAGGCCAGCAGAACAATAAGAATGAGAACAAGCAGGGCAACTCCGACAGCTATGGGAACAAGGAAGCTCTCCCCATCAGCCAGGCATTCCTCAGCTAAACAGGAGTGAAGAGAGCAGAGAGGTGAATGTCTCACAGGCTTAACATAGGACATAAAACATATGGTTACTGAAAGGACAGCCGAAAGATAGAAGTGGTCTGACAAGTAAATCTCCCAGGTATTAAAAGCATAAACATTTACTCAAGTGGTTCAACAGCACATTCTTTTATTTCTGTAGAAAACACTAAAAAGCTCAGTTGACACAATTTGAAATCCAATTTATTATAGCTAACAGCATGAGAGAATGCAGAGGAAATCAGTTGCATCCACATAACACACAACAACAACAACTGAGATTGTCTTGCAGCACAGATTCCCTTTATGTGTGTGCACGTCTCCTCCACAAGTGGAGGGAAATTAAGCAGCCAAACATCACGCAGCGAGTAAGCAGTGAGTTACTGAATGCACAGGACAAAGTTATTGAGCAAAGCTTGTTAGATGATTTGACAAGTGTCTAATTAAAACTCTTAATGCTGCAAAACCATCTTCATCATCATGGCAACTTGTACAAAGCTGAAATACAAACTGCAACAATCACAAGCAAAAGTCAAAGCTCTTAAGTGCCATTAACTATATGCATATACAGTGACCTGGAAAAAGCAGAATTTCACAAGCATCTTGGGGAAAAAAAAAAAAAAGTAATGATCTCTGGCTGCGACAAGCTGAACAATAAACAGTACTCCGCTTGAATTAACATACAGCTACTGTCGTGTCACACAGCCTGCCTGTCATTACAAAGAACACATTCTGTGGCCTGCAATACCCGACTGCTACTCTGATCCAACTCCCTGATTCAAAAGGTCCTGAAAACTTACTTTCAGCCTCTTTAAAAATCCATTTAATGTCAAGTTATCACTAATTTCAGCACAACAATTAAAGTTATCCTGGCAGTTGTGTGGTTGTGTGCACATTTATTAGAATAATCAGATGAAACTACAGCCCGAGGTCTTAAAGAGACCGGTAAGCTGAAACCTAACAAACAGTTTGGCATTTGGAAAACTGGACTTACTTTGTTAAGAGTTGTAGCACACAGATTAACCAAACATGATATGAACGTGTCAAGTTGTGAGCTAGAGAGAGGCATGAGAGTTGTGCAACACATCAAACCATTCCGGCACCATTTGTCGTCATTCCTACTCAGTTTCGTGACATATCTAAAGATGCAGAGCTCTGAACCCAAAGTTTTCAGGGGCTTTAACACCCACTGATCCAGCAGCAGCCACCTGTAGAGCTCAGGCCAAAGCCCAGAATCTTACACAGGTGAGATCATGTGACAGCAGAGTCAACGTAAGAAAAATATAAAGAGTGTTTAAGTGCATTTACATGCAAATATCCCCATTTCAGAATCATCTGTGCTGAAAGCGAATATCTACACAATAGTATGATCCCTTTTCTAAACATAATGCCAAAATGTCTTCTGAGTGAGGAAGAGAGAAAACTGCCCCACACAACTTCCGGTTTGAACAGAGCACGTGCAAATGTAATGACTAATGATGGCTTCATCACAGGTTTGTCACTCTGGGGGTCGTCACAATAATCTGTTGGTGAGCCACTGTTAAAGTAATTAGCGCCATGTGTGCTTTTACTCTTACTTGATATGTTCAATGCCACAACCAGGACAAATATCTTATGTTTCTCCTGCTCTACAGGGGCAAACATGGACTAAGGCATATTCATCTACAGCCTTTTAAAAGGAGCAGACATTCATCTGTGTTAATGAACTTCCAGGGAGGGAGGAAAAAAGAAAAAAAAAAAAAAGCTGCTGTGACATTGAGGTTTTCAATTGATTTCCACAAATTCTCAATGGGGGTTAAACAAGAAAACAAATGTGTTTTAAAGACAAAAACAAAAAGGGGAATGTCTGCTGAGCGAGTGCAGGATCCTACAGAAACCAATTACATGGTCACATCTTGTGCTAGAAATGTGGAAGACGTTCAGGGGGCTTCGTTTATGAAAAGGTAGACTTTGCATGACCAGATATCCAATTTGAACAAATGCTTGATAGATCTTGCACTTGCCCATTAACCAATAAAAAAAAAAAAAAAAAAAAAAAAAAAAAACAAAAAACCCAAAAACAACCAAAAACAGAAAAGACATTCAGGTGAAAAACAAACATGAGAAAAAAAAAAGTGGTACACCCACAAACAGACTGTGTACGCGTGGGGGGGGGGGGGGGGGGGGGGGGGGGGGGGGGGGGGGTAGCGCAAGTCTGGCCCTTGAGAGAAAATCCTGCATCTTTATGAAATAACCAAAACTTTACACCTCAATGATCAGACAGTAAATTTAGATTCCCCTCCACACTGATGCCATTTCACAAAACTGTAGATTTAGTTTTAGACCAACTCCTGAATGTGTGACCATGAAGGCCAAGGACCAGGCTTGGGAACCCCCATAACATCACAAGATCGACTGCAATATGAATTTAAAGAGTCTGATATCCAACGTAAGTCTTCCTTCGACCAATCACGTAAGCAATCACTACAATGAGAATTAAGCCAGCCAGAGCAGCGCCAACAATGATTGGGACTAAGATGTTTGGGTCGTCCACTGAACATTCATGGGCTGCAGATAAAGAGAGAGTCAGTCAGCAGGTAGAACAGTGCGTTTGTGATTAACAAACATTGTGAGACAGACATGTGACGCAGCAGGACAACAGGTCAGATTATCTGTAGTTTTTAGAGCACACGACACCAAAAGCTCATCTCTTTCAACTCAAGACTTAATGACAGATGTTATTGCAGATGTTTATGAAGTAATTAGGTGGATGAACCAGACCTCATTTTCATGATGTTTAGTGCTTTAATTTAAGACTACAAAGGTAATAAAAAGCACAGCTTCCTTCAGTGATGTCAGTAAACTGCTTGCATGTATAAAACTCACTCTGGGGCAACCTGATATTTAAAGTGCTAGCATGCCTGTAGTTCTCAAAAAGAACTGATATTGATAGTATTTACTATTAGATATTGATTTGCAACAGCACAGAGCTTTACCTCTTAAAGCTGGAATTTCAATGCAGTCACACAGATGTTAACCTAGCCAGTGCACACATTAACCATCAACTATAAAACATAAGTCATTCTGTTACAATGAAGAGAGCAGCAATGGCTAATCAGCAGCAAACATGTGCAACAATGAGTGATAAATTAACAGGATAACACAACTGTGTCTAAAGGTGCTGCGTTTCTCCTAGATTGGATATGATAAGTCTTCCAGCAATTACAAATGGTGGCGATTACCTTAAACATTGTATCAGCAACAAAAGTGCAATGCACCAAAAGAAAAGCACTGCAAGGGAGATTTGTCAGCACTATGAAGAGAACCTTACAGAGGTTGCTTTTTTTTTTTAAATTATGCAAGACAACTTGTTTTAAAGTCACCAATCTTATGAAATTGAGGTCTGGGTCCAAACTCCAACGGGTAAAACTAGCATGTCACAGATCCACAACTATGCACAGTTGTGAGAGGATGATTACTGAACAGTTCTCAACACCAACTAGAATTTCTTTTTTTAATGTCTTCCCTAAATAATAACCTGTTAACCAGCACTGATAAATCCATAAAAAAATATTCTTGCCTTATTCTGATCATGATCACAGCCACTGTCTGTACACCAGGAGATTTCAAAAATAACCTACCTGTACTGAAAACACCTTTGTTCACTCCGAAGGGCTGCACATGCAGGCTGAAGGTGTGGATGGAGAGCGTGTCGGTGATGTTGAAAGTCTGCTCCTTGTTACACATGTAGGAGCTGCCGATGGATGCCTCCCACAGATTGAGGCTGGAGTTCTCCACAGAAAAATTACCTTCAAGGAAGAAAGACAGCACATAGTTTGCCTTCTTCTCAGTGCATTGCCTGGTGTATGCGATTATACGAGAATAGTTTAGTTACCAGAGCTCGTGCTGACACTGATGTTCAGATCATGCAGGCGGAATTTCTTTGTGTCCTGTAAAAGTTTAGAAACAGAAAACTGAAGGCTTTGTTTAAGTCAACGGCATTACCCGTCACTGACATGGAGATTTAAAATAAAAGCACTTTAAAAGCATTTTTCCTCTTTAATTAATGAGTTGTATAACTTTAGGTTCTCATACCTCCTGTCTGAAGTAAATACTCATAATACAAGGTTACATAACCACCTTTTACTTTGTTTTCCTGGAGGTGGAGTTGTCATGTTAAGGACAGTAAAATGGCTAAGTATGTGCAGTGTGACCCTTGGTAAGTTTGGCAACATTATCTACCACATAGATAAATGATTTTACCTCTGAGGACTTACATTGGTAAAGGTAAACCTGATAGTCATTTTTTTAGATGCCAAAGTAAGCTCACTGCTGTTGACACCACATGATCCAGAGACATTGGCCATATTGGGATCCAAATTCATTTCCTGTAAATTTTAAGCCAGACAGAACAGAAACAAAATCAACAAATGATAAATTATCTGTCAAGGGGGGGGGTTACAACTGAGTATATGAAACCTACCTCGCCCTTAATACCAATGCGCAGGCCAAAGTTGGCCAGCAGACAGACTGTGCCATTTTCAGTCCTGATGCTGTAGTTCCCAGTACTGGGTACAGGGAGAGTGGGTACTGGGGTGGTAGTAGGGACAGGCATAGTTGTTGTGTTGGGGGCAAGTGTGGTTGTATTGGGGGCAAGTGTGGTTGTATTAGGGGCAAGTGTGGTTGTATTAGGGGCAAGTGTGGTTGTATTAGGGGCAAGTGTGGTTGTATTAGGGGCAAGTGTGGTAGGGACAGTTGTAGTTGTGGCATTAGGGGCAGCAGTTGTACTTGAGATGGGTTCATCTGCAGGACAGGAGCTTACTGTGCGAGGAGATAAAAGAACACCACGTTAACAGAAATGTACAAAACGCTACAGCCAGGATGAGCTGCATCACAGCTCGTGTACTTACTTTCAGAACTCTTGTTGCCATCACTGATAAAAGCCTGTATTTGCACATCCCACAGCGTCATGTTGACGTCACCACTTTCGATCAGGTCCTCACTTTTGCACGAGTAGCAGGTATCCATGCCTATGTTTTTAATGTCAAGAAGCCCTCTTGCCACAGTAGGTTCTAACAAATCCAGAAAAGTCCAAAAAGTCAGCAAGAAGATCTATCGCCAAGTTTTTAAAAAAAATACACATCAAGAGATGTAGACGTTACCTTTTGATTTAGAGTTAGGGAAGTGGACAGGGTCGCCGAGATTGTAGGTAAAGGTGACTACGTCCGCCTCGTAAACTTCTTCAATCTTGGAGAAGGTTATACTGAAAGCGTGACCCTCTCCAAAATTAAGCATCAGCATTGAGTTCTTGGCATCACATGTACTTTTAGTTGAATTGGCGTCATCAGTTAAAGCAAACACAGCTGTCTGAGTCTGAAAGACAGTGTAAATGATCATAGGAACTTAATCTGACACACTTGACAAGTTTAACATTTAACTTGTAAGATGGGCAAAACAGAATACATTTCAAATTAATAACAAAATTGATCCACAGCTAATCAAGCAAGGGGTAAGCTCAGACAGTATAAGATGGATGCAGGTAATCAGAATGGCTATTGTGAATCCTCAAGTTGAGTGCCGTCACAGTCACAAGCTAGGCTGAATAGTCATTCTCCAGGGTTCGGTCATTGACTAGCCTTTTGTGACCAATTACCAAAATAAACTTCAATCACATGACATTAGTGTTAGAAACCATGAAGTTATCATGAAAGCATTTCTTGATGTCTTCAACCAGGTGGCACCCCCTGCTGGTCATTAAAGAGAAAGCTGTGTTAAGGCATTTCTGCTAGGGCTTCACTTTTTAGACTCAGAAGCTGCATCATCTTCTATACAATCTATGAGCAAAACAAGCTTCTAATTTTCAGTCCGTGTTTACTGACCACCTCCAATCAGCTTTAGATTTTAAATTATGCCAACATGTCCATATTTTCCCCTTTTTAAAAACACAAATACAAGTAAACATACAGTCAACGCCAATGATCAGCACAAAAGCAGATTCTGAAAACCACAAATCAAAATTAAGGAACCAGTTCTGTCGTGTGTTCATAGAGCTTAGACATGAAGCTTATTTAACACTAGCAGCTACTAGCCAACAGTAGCCTGGTCTATTAACACTTGACAGGAGTTTGTGATAGCAGTTTAACATTGGTTAAATCAAGACTAGCAACATGACTAGCACCCATCCTTCATCCTGCAGGCTTCAAGAGCAGAGGAAATTCATTTAAATTTCACCTGCCCTGACAAGCCCGAACAGCACAGAGTTTGTAAATGCTTCTTGATTTGCAAACAGGGTCTCTCCCCTCCTCATGTTGATTACGGTCTTTAGAGGCATTTTAATGGACTGATGTTGACAAATGTAGGAAAAAGTACAAGTTTTAAAACAAAAAAAAAATCATTTGTGGGGATCTGTTTTATTATAGCTTGTCTTTTTAATTTAAAAAAAAAAGTGTGCGTACCATGTTTACTTATCTTTGTGGGGACCGGAAATTGGAATGTTACTATACTTATGGGGACAAAATGACTGTCCCAACAAGGTTGAAGGCATTTGAAACTCAATAGGGTTTTAGTGTCAGGGTTACAATTGTCCTAAACCTAACTTTAACCTAAGGGTTAAGATTAGGCATCCTTTTTATGGTTAGGGTAAGCAGCTAGGGAAAGCATCATGTCAATTAGATGTCCCCACTAAGATATGAAAACTTTGAAAAAAGTAGCATTTTGATAAACAGATCAGATTGTAGGGTTTAAAAGAAAGAACAAAAATTTACTTTAAGAGATTACTTAAACAACACCTCACAAGACAACACTGCAAGAGCAGGATATCCACCAGGAAAACACCAACTAAAATACTGAATAGCAAAAAATGTTTTTTCAGGGAACCCCTCATTTCCTCTTCACATGACTGGAACAAAAACACTGTCACAGCTAAAGTGGTCTGATAAGAGCAGAGCTGCTATCACACGTCAGCACAGTATTTATATGGACTACTGTAGACTTAAGAATCGTGATTCACATCGCTAAGACAAAAACACCTACCTGGTTGTCAAGATCTTCATAGGTGACCGAGAATGTGAGCTCCAGATTGGCATAGAGGCATAACTTTCCATCTTTTGTGACATTGAACTCAATGCCATGTGATAGCTGGATCACTGGAAAGAAAAGGAGCATACTTAGTATTTTTTTTCTTCTGTACATACAATTCTTACTAATCAGAAACATTAATTGTTACATTTTATGCTTTAAAAGGTCAGTGAGGGGATGGGAATCAGTCCCTTCAGACCAACAAGTGGGCAAAGTTATGAAGATGACATCACTCAATCACAGGGTCTCACAAAAGCCACACCAATCCACCCTAATTTAAAAAAAAACCCCCCAAAAAAAACAGTCCAATACCAAGTGTGTTGTCACTTTCATGTGACTGGTCATGTGTTCAGGAAGCAGAAAGCTGCAGCTCATGGAAAATGACATATACATATATATATATATATATATATATATATATATATATATATGCAATAAAAGTAAAGCAAATGTGTAAGAGCGCCATGGAGCACACACTATAACAATTTCATAATTTAATGATTAATGTTGATCATGTATGTCTGCTGTGGTGGAACTACAACACTGATAAGACGGACTACAAAATCACCATGTTGTTTTGTGCAGGTCATGTAAACATAACTTTCTTATCAAGGTTGGGATCTCAGATAAGACGTTTTCTAAGTAAGTCGTTCATCCTGTCCAACCTCATTTTGTCATCCTGCTAAAGAGAACACCTATAGTAGGTCCTGCCTTCATTACAGCCTTCTCTGAAGGAGGTTAAACTCATGACAGATGTACAGCAACAGATGTTACTAACGCAAGCCTAATCATGGCAAACCGTAAATAATAATAGTCACCCTTAGAAGCAGCCAATTTTTAGTCACAGTAGCTTAGGCCACCAAGCTTGAGGTTTAACACATCCTATTATTGAGGGCTGAAAACTTATCAGCAGCTTATCACATGACATGACCCCCCCCCCCCCCAAAAAAAAAAAAAAAAAAAAAAAAAAACCCAAAACAACAACATTTGAATTGAGACTTGCTTAAACTTGTTCTGCGTCACCCATCAGTTAAACCGAGTGTTTTCCTGAGCGGTCTGACGGGATTATCCGTTTTCCTTTCTAAAAGATGTTCCAGTTTAGTATCTGTTAAAGCAAACAATTTTTCTTTAATATTTAAATGCCAACAGCTATTATTGCAGGGTAGCCAGGAACCTTCGGAAGCACATAAAAATTTAACTCCAACCTAGATTTTTAACCCCCCCCCCCCTAAATCATGCGACTCCAGTGCAAAGGAGTGTCAGCATTATGGTGTCCAAAGGTCTCAGTTTCCAGTCCTGGCCTTTTCAAAAACACACAATATAGTGGCCTTGAGTAATATTTCTCCAAGTTTTATAAAAGTCTTTCAAAGTTTCTCTTTGGACAGGTCATTCATGTTTAGTCCAGTTCTTAAACCTGACCATTTTCAGAGAAATGCTTGTCCTTTGTGAAACCAACTGACACTGACCTATGAATCATCCAAGCATGACAAACAAGTCACCCGACTCAAGAGATGAACCAGTGTGCTGTCTACACTGACAACTTAAGAGTTGCTTTGTGAACACATTACTGGTTTACAGTCATTTGAAATCATTTTATGGTGAATTAATGAAAAACCAAACAACTCCCACACAACTACAAATACAGACTTAAATGCTCAAGATACTCCGGACCACAAAAATGTGCGTGCAATTAAACAAAGGCCGAAGTCCAGTTATACGCCAGCTGTGGTTTTAACCGCATGCTCTCATCATCTCAGGTCTGCAGGTAATGTGATAAACCTATAAAGTCCACAAGACACAAGTGTTCATGAAATCTCTTACAGGCAGATATACAATCTCAGCTATACCTTAACAAATTTCAGGGCACTGAAATACCCCCTTTATTATCAGAGTAAGAAGGTACACAGCATAGTTGCAACAGGGCCCGATAAGGTGGCATATTTTCGTATCAGCCTGCAATAGATCAGAACTTTCCAGAAAAACTATTAGACAAACAGCGATCTATCCAGCTAAGCCCAGCAATTAGAAGTCATCGTCACTTAATCAAATAAGCGTCTGTAAAATCAAAGACTCTTCAATAATCCAGATCTGTATTTCTACTCTGCATTTGCTTAGCTTTTTATGCTACACTTTAGCTCTACGGTAAATCGTTTGAGCTTCACGGTCACGTGCCAATTTCCAGCAAACTGTCAAAAAGCTAATGCTAACTATCGGACCCACGGCTCGTTTAATGTCGCACTTTCTATTCATTTCTGCTCTTGTAACCTTGATCTGTTTTAGGCCAGTATTATCTAGCAGAGGATAGGACTCCGACGGGTTTAGGCTTCATGATTAACTGGAACTTTCGCTTCTAAACCTGGTGTTATCTAATCACCAAGCCATCAGACACTAGCAATTGTTGTCCAAAACATTAGCTGCAAAATTAACGCGGAAATGGCTACTTTTTATTTTTGAGTTTTTTGTTGCCGTTTTTTTTGTTTTTGTTTTTTTTCCCCGGTAATAAAATAAGCAGCTATATATGTGTAAATCTGAAAGCTACATGCGACCGCTTGGCTGCGTTTCAGTTTAGTGTTGACGTATGTAACAATTAGCCAAGAAGCTACGACGGCTAACCATCACGACTGAACCGCTTAAGGCCTGTACTTTATACTCACTCTAAGCAAACACGTTTGTGTCAGTGCAGTTGAACACATCTTCAACTACGTTTATACTCTGCAATTTTCCTTTCCAGAACAGCAGTAAGATTTAGCCCTGAAGCGACAGGCCCGGCGCGTCCCAGAAGTTTAATCACGCCACTTCTCAGAAACAGTGAGCGATTTCCCCCCCCCCAGCCCACTTCTTTAAGTTAAGCTATTTTGAAGACACTTACCGATTCCAAACACAAAAAAGAAAAGGCAGCGAGACATCATGGCTGGGCAGTTTGCAGGGTCAGCCGCTGGAGAGAAAACAACCGACGGAGACGCTCAGTCAGTGGTGTTTGGCTGCAGCTACCGCCGACGATACCAGGAAATGACAGTCATATGACAGACGCTGACGTGCCAGCCCTATAAGAGGTGTGGAGCCAGGCCCACACCTAAATCTCGTTGATGGACTAATTATTGGCCCGTGTGCGTTTTAAAGCTCACACGAACCTAAGTGTTTAATGGCGCCTCATAAAATCTTCACCAATGATTTCATACTATTATAATTAGGGTGACTAGATACCTCCCTTTATGCCGGACTCGGCTTCTCAGTTAACGAAAGTGAACTTTCACGAGAAATACGCTGCTGTGCAAACGTTTTGAGCTAACCTGCATTTCTTTACATTTTGGAAGTTTTCAGAAGTGGTCTTGAGTAATAGTTTTCCAGGCTTTCTGAAGATCTTTCAGAGTTTTTATTTGGACATTTTGTTAAGCCACTTAACACTGACTTATTAATTGTTCAAGCATAAAAAGGGACCTAACTCGAGGGATAAACATGACAACTTGGAAAAGAACCAATTTCAAACTGTCTTTAGGCAGCTTGTTATTAGCAGCCTGTCAAAAAAATGCATATCATTTGTTCTCGTGTCTTTAGTTGGATCTATAAAAAAATATAAAATTGGATTTTTACACCAACGACATTCCAATTCTCAAAGACCTATTAGCTGAAAAGTTGGCATATCTCGACATGGTGAGCAATGACCTTTGACAAAGATTTGAGCAAATTGGACTAGTGCAGGACTAAACAACCTGGAGGCTTAAAACTATCTACAGTCAATGGTCACAATCTGAAACTCGTGTCCTTAAGAAAAGGAAAAGAAATTCCTCTTATTAACTGTATTTCCATGTATGTTTACTGCCTCAATAAATCACAGCACCTATTTATTACCATGCCTCAAGACCTTTGCGCAGTACTGTATGGCTCAAAAAAAGAGATGTTATTTTCTGTGGATTGATGGATAACCATTATTGCAAAAACAAAAAAAAAACGTGAGCAGACAATATAGAAAATGGGATTATAGAAGCCATCCCATTAAAAACAAACTTTAGCTTATATTTAAGCTTACAAGGTGTAAATTGCTTTAATATAAAATATTCCATCTGTCCATCACATAATCAGCATCACACCGATAACATCTGTTTAACTTAGACTCTCTTTCCAGCTTTAGTACCCAGTCTCACATAGTCATACGCTGAAATAGTTGGGATCTGGTCACCCTAAATATAATTACACGTGTTTGAAACCCAGTGATTGAACATGACATAACCCACTGAAACAGTTATTTTAATCTGAAGAAATCTAACAGACTCATACAAACAACGGCATATCTGATCAATCATTGTCTGCCTCATACGTTGAGGCGTTTTCCATCCACTTTTCAGTAAGCCTGATAGGGAGACTTAAGAAAAAAAGTGTGTAGTAATGACATTGAATGTGGACTCTCATCGTATTGTGCTTTTACTAAGGGTCATCAAAAACCTAACACAAAGTGGACTGCCATGTCAGATTATTTAAAATGCTTTGTGGTGCATGTACAAAAATGACCTTCAAAGAAAAAGCAAAAGAGAAACTTAAATGTGTTTACTTATACAAGTGGGCTGCCTTAGCAGCTTCATTATAGCCTATAACAACAAGAAGTGCTCCATTTTTGGCACATTTTGTGTGATTACAAACATCGCTATATCACTGGGCTACATGGCCTTGAAACTGTAAAACTTTGCTGATGCAGGATCACACATTTGCCACAGAAATTCCCAAAATTACCAGTTCCCTACTTTAAATGTTAGTCCCACTTTTGACACTGACAGAAGAAACAAGCATCGGTTTAATTTTTATCCTTTTTTCTCTCTCAAACATGTGGTACATTTAGAGCATTGTTAGGTGTGTTAGCATTTGCCTGGGATACTGGATGAACAAAAAGGAAGAAAAAAAATTGTGACTTGATAACAAAGAGCATATTGATGCAAACCAAGGACAAAGAAGAATCTAAGTTTGAAAATAAATACTTTTCCTCTCCATTTAAAAAAAAAAGAAAAAAAGAGCAAACTGAACAATATCTGTGTGTCTTCTTTGTCCCAGCTCTCTCAGAGGCACTGACAAATATGGACAATATTCTCTTTTCAATAGGCATGCAGTCCACAGGATCACAAGAACCCTGACGAAAAACCCTGTGGAGCTATAGCCATTCAGTTGTCGGTCGCTGGGTTGAAGATGATAATGGATAACATCCACTGGAGCAGACGATTTAAGAGACCGAGCACTCAGAACGGCTTTCATCCTGACTGGACCACCTGCATCCACCTTTCTTTCATCTAAGCCACATAGTTGTACTGGTTGGAGTTCTCCTTGTCACGCTCCATGTAGTCCCTGTCAATAAGAGACTCTATCCTCTTTTTCAAGTCAGCAGGCTGAGAGGAGAGGACAGACAGGAGGCACGAGTTAAAACATGAAAAACATGCCAGCATTTCAAGCTATATTTTGAGGTGTGATATAGAAAAAAAACAGACGTGAAAAGGCAGATTCATGTTAGTCTTCCCAAAATTTATCATAAAATAAAAAGTAAATTAAAACACCTTCTCCTTTTCCTCTAGACCTGCATAAAGGTTATAGTTTTTTTTGTTAGTTTCCCCCCCTATTTGATACACGCTGTTACACTGGAGCAGGGTCCCCAATCCCAGTCCACGAGGGCCGGTGTCCCTGCAGGTTTTAGATGTGTCCTTGATCCATCACAGCTGATTTCAATGGAGAAATTACCTTCTCAACATGTCTTGAAGTTCTCCAGAGGCCTGGTAATTTCATGTGATCATGTGATCCAGGTGTGTTGACCCAGGGTGAGATCTAAAACCTGCAGGGACACCGGCTCACGTGGACTGGGATTGGGGACCCCTGCACTGGAGGATGCTGATATTAAACACTGCCAAAGTTTAAAACTCTAAATTCTAAAGTTGGTCAACACAGCGTAACAGCAGCGTCTAACATTGTTCCCACACAGAGCCATTATCTATAGCGCTTTACTCAGTCCCTAAGGACCCCAAAGCTACATTCAGTCATTCACCCATTCACACACACACACACATTCACACACGGGCAATGGCAAGCTACATTGTAGGGGGCGTACTGACAAAGGCGAGGCTGCCGGACACTGGCGCCACCGGGCCCTCTGACCACCACCAGTAGGCAAACATGGGGTTAGTATCTTGCCCAAGGATGCAGCTAGGAGGCAGCCTGGGATCGAACCACCGACCTTCTGATTAGTGGCTGACCTGCTCTGCCGCCTGAGCTACAGCCACCCCATGTTTTAGCAGGATCAAAAACATGTGAGACAACTGGTCTCTTGACACTCTTGTTTGTGGCGTAGCTGCTTCTTTAAAAAAACAAAAACAAACAAAAAAAACAACCATGGAAATTCCAGACTGTACAGTTCCTCTAGTGGTCACCTGAGGCTGGCACCCAAAGCAAGCCAATTCCTATAGAGTCACATCTTAAAATGCCCAACTTTTCAGCATTAAAAACAGATTTACAGCCTTGTAGATAAACAAACAAAAAAATTCTCATGTAGAACTATTTGTGTCAGTGCGGCACACCCGTACTGCATATGGCTGCAGCTTATAGTTCTTATGAAAAAAAAAAAAGAATAAAATTAACACTACAGTGGACAAAAAACACCAAAGTTAAAGCTTTTAAATGCAAAACTCAAAACCAATGGGTGACCTGACAATCATGTGAAAAAGTGCATCTTTATAGGAATGGAGAGAGTCCCCTGAAAACTTTTTCACATGACTGCATCTTTTATCCTGTACGTGAAGAGCAAACGTGTTAAAATACAGAGAACTTCGTTGCCGTGAAGTGAAACTTTCAATGCAGCCACTATCTCGGCTTCTCATTTTGGCTTCTTGATCTCTGACTATTTTCCCCACTCCTTCCTCTTTGTGGTAAACACTGAAGTCACCCCCTATCATGTCCAAGCAAACTTTTAAACCGAATCAGCAATCTGTCACGCCGAAGCGTCACTGCTGTCTGGCCAAGTCCTAGTGGGTTTTTTTTTGGTTAGATCTAGTTTAGCTGAAATTGTTGACAGTGGAAGAGCGGGGGTCTGTCCAGCAAATGAAAGAAACTTCCTTTACTGGAGGACTGAAAGTAGACGAAAAAGGAGAGGGACTGAAATGGTAAGTGAAAGTAGTGAATACCCAATACAATATTCACATGTAGGAAGCCCCACAGCTTGGAAGGTTTCAAAAGCTACATTCACTTCTCATTATTTCTACTACTAGATCATGCATTAAACCCAGTGTAGTCCTTCTGTATGTTAAAAATACTGGCAACTACCAGTGCTATTTCAGCCTCCTAGTGGACACACCTATCAACTTAAAATTGGCTTATTTTCAAGTTATTGCATTTACAAGATTTTCAGAAAACTAGACCTTCAGTTCGAGGTCACTGAGATTCAAATTCATCTGAGACTTGTAGTAGTTACACCTATGGTATCAATTTTAAAATCCTACGTTCTCAAGTTATTGCATTCACAAGATTTTCAGAAAACTTGACCTGAGGTCAAGCTCGTAGATACACTTATGGTGTCAATTTTAAAGCCCTACATTGACTCATACTCGAGTCATCACATTCACAAACTTCGGTGTCCGCACCTGGTGATGGCATTCCCCATCAGCGTTTACGACCGAGTGGTAAAAAGAAAAAAAACAAAACAGAAAATCAGTTGTGATTATCACCTTGACGGGGAACTTCAGCTGACTGTACACTTCAGACATCAAAAGATTATGGGTCAGAGTCTTCCTCATCTTCATGATCCGCACAATGGCAGCATCGATCTGGTACTGACGATCCTGAAAGACTCTTTCTGTGGTGCTGGCTTGCTCCTCCACCTGAGTAAAAGAGGCGAGTTAAAAATAATTTTCCGATCCTTGAAAGATAATTTAGAAAAATACGGTGAGAGCAAACATACTGTTTCTTTCATCTGGATCTGGTTGATTTTGATCCTGAACAGCTTGTGTTTGAAGTCGTCATTGCAGGAAAACTTGTCCCCATCTTCTACATCTTTGCTTTTTGGGATTTTGGTGAGGACACGTGCTTTACCACATGCAAGTGACTGAAGAGTCCGCCGTAGCTCA